ACATCGCTGGAATCCTCATATTAACTGACATCGCTGGAGTCCTCACATTATCTGACATCGCTAGAGTCCTCAAAAATCGGACGATATCTAAGTATCGACAAGTTAGAGGCCTCCAATTTGTTGACAACGTCATTTCTTATTTGATAAGGTTAAATATCTTATATACTAGTCCTTTCTACCAATTCTCGTCTTAATGCGATGAATAGAGCAAAAGTGTTTGCAAATTGAAAATGCAGTAGCCAATAAGAAGCCATTTTGAATTTCGTCCTGATATATGTACGTTGCATAATTAGGGTTTGTCATGCAAAGGCATGCGAGGTTTTATTAGTATCCCTCCAGTAGCGTCAGACTTTGTGAAGTTGTATTAGTGTGCTTTATGTAGTTTCAATAACCTTCCCACTTTATTGAGGGAATTAACTTTCTAACAATCGACTGATTAAGTCCGATTAAACCCTACTTACATGGTATCTATATATTGTTAAGCATCTACTTTAATCTTATAAATTTTCGCTAGATTTAATTTTCGTGGTCTTTAAAACATTTCGTGCACATTGAAATTCGTGGATAAATAATGCTGAATATATTTACTTATGGTTACATTAAAACTTCGTGGGTGAACCTATTGTAAGTTACACATCTGTGTATATGAATATATTCACTTCAATATCAAAATGATAGATTTAAATACACGTACCCACATAAACGAAGCTATTGTGATTGTAAGAGAATATATGGCGTTGTCATAACAGAGGTAAGTTATCTTTGTAAAGAATATAACCCGGGTGTCATAACAGAGGTAAGTTATCTTTGTAAAGAATATATCCCGGGTGTCATAACAGAGGTGAGTTATCTGTGTAAGGAATCTACCCCGATTGTCATAACAGAGGTAAGTATCTGTGTAAGGAATATATCCCGGGTGTCATAACAGAGGTGAGTTATCTGTGTAAGGAATCTACCCCGATTGTCATAACAGAGGTAAGTTATCTTTGTAAAGAATATAACCCGGGTGTCACAACAGAGGTAAGTTATCTGTGTAAGGAATATATCCCGGGTGTCATAACAGAGGTAAGTTATCTGTGTAAGGAATATATCCCGGGTGTCACAACAGAGGTAAGTATCTGTGTAAGGAATATATCCCGGGTGTCATAACAGAGGTAAGTTATCTGTGTAAGGAATATATCCCGGGTGTCATAACAGAGGTAAGTTATCTTTGTAAAGAATATATCCCGGGTGTCACAACAGAGGTAAGTTATCTGTGTAAGGAATATATCCCGGGTGTCATAACAGAGGTAAGTTATCTGTGTAAGGAATATATCCCGGGTGTCACAACAGAGGTAAGTTATCTGTGTGAGTAATCTACCCCGAGTGTCACAATAGAGGTAAGTTATCTGTGTAAGGAATATATCCCGGGTGTCATAACAGAGGTAAGTTATCTGTGTAAAGAATATATCCCGGGTGTCATAACAGAGGTAAGTTATCTGTGTAAGTAACAGAGGTAATATATATCCGGGTGTCATAACAGAGGTAAGTTATCTGTGTAAAGAATATATCCCGGGTGTCATAACAGAGGTAAGTTATCTGTGTAAGGAATATATCCCGGGTGTCATAACAGAGGTAAGTTATCTGTGTAAGGAATATATCCCGGGTGTCATAACAGAGGTAAGTTATCTGTGTAAGGAATATATCCCGGGTGTCATAACAGAGGTAAGTTATCTGTGTAAGGAATATATCCCGGGTGTCATAACAGAGGTAAGTTATCTGTGTAAGGAATATATCCCGGGTGTCATAACAGAGGTAAGTTATCTGTGTAAAGAATATATCCCGGGTGTCATAACAGAGGTAAGTTATCTGTGTAAAGAATATATCCCGGGTGTCATAACAGAGGTAAGTTATCTTTGTAAAGAATATATCCCGGGTGTCATAACAGAGGTAAGTTATCTTTGTAAAGAATATATCCCGGGTGTCACAACAGAGGTAAGTTATCTGTGTAAGGAATATATCCCGGGTGTCACAACAGAGGTAAGTTATCTGTGTACGGAATATATCCCGGGTGTCACAACAGATGTTATTTACCCAATTTGTTAGAAACATAGCTCCTTTTTGCGAGGGATATTCAGGGAAAAAACGTTATAAAGTAATAATACGTTTAACCAATCTACATTTGATCATTTGTCTTTATTTTTATGTCGGCAGGTGATGTCCCCGTTTTTTCTAACCTGGACGGTACACACACCATGATCTTCTGTGTCATCAAAACAGCTACCATATAAATTGTTTTCAACCCAAATAAGCCATATTCTTATATTTGAAGGATCACAGCAACAAACCCGTAAGACATAATACACATTTAGCTTCATATTTGACAGAATATGTTCTGATGGGATCTTGAAACTGTGTGTCGTGAATATTTTCAGTCATCTGTTCATGAAAAAGCCCATGTATTCACTACGTCATATTAATGACAAAGATTGAGGAAGCAGGAGGGTAACTACCTAGAAATGGAAATACACAAAAAGGAAAACGTAATCAACACGTTAGTAATACAACTTGTTAGAAAGTTGGCCATGTTGATTTTAGTGTAGGGAATGATCAGGGCAAATGTACAGATGTCATTGATTTTCGATGGGAAGACACGATCAACGGCCATTACATATAAATTACTTATAATATAAGGTTAATGCATCACCAATATATCGGAAAGTGGAATTAAAAGATTTATGAGATCTATTTTGATAAGTCTTTTAATAAATTAATTCTTGTACGGAAACAAGCTAGTTAGCAAACCGAATGTTACATTTTGTTCCTATGGGAATGTTTGTAGACTGATACTGTTATCGTCAGCCCCGAGTTATACCTCCTGTGTATGTCTGTAATATAGAATCGTCTTCAGTACATAGATAGATAGCCCGCTTCCCCCATAACAGTGCCATTGCTGTGCTACGAAATACGATTTACGTCAATCTCCAGAGACATACATGATAACTTTCATGTCTTTCTCATGTCTACTTATAATGCACCAACATTTTCATTCCGTTGAAGAGTTTATGAAACAATATGCTACAGCCTTAAACAATAAACGAAACAATGTTTCATGATCCGGACGGTCAGAACTACAAAATTTTAACAAGCCGTATGTGCTTAAGCAATATTATATATTTGTCATTAGTTAATACATTATCTACATTCGAAAGAATCACTTCAGATACAACTTGTATACTATAAAACATGTGTGAAATGTTTTTGTGAAACAACACCGTAAACAGTCCTATCCAAACCTTAACACTTACATTATCTTAAATAAAAAAGATTATCCACCGCTTTTCTCGATCTTCGCTAACAAACTTGATTTCCCAGTTTCTGGACAGAACATTCCCGCTTCCCCAATTTTTCCGTGTCGTGGTTGATATGATATTTTAGTGTTTGATTCTTATCTCACGATTTACATGTTAGATGTCGATAGTGCAATGTCGTTTACTGTTTCGGGAGATGCAGGTTAATAAATATATCAAAAGACATCCTATTTGTAATATCTTCTCATCGGAGGGTATCCTTATTCATAGAGATACAAAGGTCTCTGTGTTGGGTACTTCACTATTCCGGAACACCTGGTCTTATTCCGCTCCTATCATTATATGCTTATCTACTTTTGATTTAGAATTTGGATTTTGTAAATAAATACATTTCCTCGATGCGTTCGTTGGTTGCTAGCCAGCAATTTTTGTATCTTAGATGTCAACGACACGATTATAAATAATACCCTACATTAAAACCTTAAGAAGGAAAACAAACCGAAGGAAGGTGGGATTCCAGTTTAATATTTGTTGTCCTCTTCCAGGCTGTACGGAACATCTCTGGTAATGTAGCAGCACTATATTGTTATGCGCATGTGTTTTACCTGCTTCTTTGTAATTTTGTCAATTTCTCATGTGCCGAAATATTTATAGTTTTTTGCTATGCTATGTGTATGGGAATCCTATGTCAACTATCTGGTATTTGTCAGGCCAGTGGTCTTCTATATGGTAGCATTAACTACTCGTATGAAGATAATGTAAAAATATGTCAAATCACTCATATATACTTAACTCAAATCTCTCTCTCTCTCTCTCTCTCTCTCTCTCTCTCTCTCTCTCTCTCTCTCTCTCTCTCTCTCTCTCTCTCTCTCTCTCTCTCTCTCTCTCTCTCTCTCTCTCTCTCTCTCCTTCTCTTCGCATAATAATTGTATTTAAACTTTAAACATGTCGTCTTGTCTTGTTAATATGTATTTTGTCAAACTTTATAGGAAAGACTTTGATATAAGTTAGAAAATGTGTGCCCAATCCTATCTGTATATTTGATACCAATAAAATATGTTTAAATAAATGGTCTTGAAGGGGGGTGTCCTGGTAGTAAGAGAGCGATGAGGGTTTTTCCCAAAAGGCACAACATCACGAGACGGTCCGTGAACACAGATCCCTGTGAAACACTTGCCGCCTCTAGACGATAATACTTATGGTAGGCCTCGTTAACAGACTGCATGATGGCACCCTTCTTTACAATACTCTTGACGTTAATTCAGTTATATCAAATTTGATGAGCGAAATAATATACAGGTTATTACAGTGTATTTTATACAAGTTTTTATAAATAAAAAGTAAAAATCTGTTCAGATAGAAAATGGAATTGTGGGGCCCAGATGTTGTGCTGTTTCTAGAGTATAATTTACATGTAGCTATATCTATCACTGGTTTCAAGAAGGTAAAGGGTGATCCGTGACCTCAATCGTCCACAATAATGGCAATAGTCATACTCCAGGTCACGTGAAACTAAACCAGATGGATGACGTCTACACGACAGTGATTGGGAAAAAATGTTGAAAAGTTAAATGGCACAGACTAAAAAATATAAATGGCAAATTATAAAGATCTAGTAGAAATGAGTTAATACTTTTAAACATTAGAATCCGTTATCCGTTAGTCGAGATTTTTTAAGAATCTACTTACGTTCTTTTACTGTTTGTACAGAGAATGTAAGGGCTACAGGCGCTGTTCCAGCAGGTGTTCACACTCTGACTTTTCGAGTGATTGACACGTCTGGAGGAATTGATACCGGCACGCTCACTGTCACAGTAACTAACTCCGTGAGTAACATACGGGCACCCTCACTGTCACAGTAACTAACTCAGTGAGTAACATACGGGCACCCTCACTGTCACAGTAACTGACTCCGTGAGTAACATACGGGCACCCTCACTGTCACAGTAAATAACTAAGTTAGTAACATACGGACACGCTCACTGTCAAAGTAACTAACTCCGTGAGTAACATACGGACACGCTCACTGTCACAGTAACTAACTCCGTGAGTAACATACGGACACGCTCACTGTCACAGTAACTAACTCCGTGAGTATCATACGGGCAACCTCACTGTCACAGTCACTAACTCCGTGAGTAACATACGGACACGCTCACTGTCACAGTAACTAACTCCGTGATTAACATACGGGCACGCTAACTGTCACAGTAACTAACTCCGTGGGTAACATACGGACACGCTCACTGTCACAGTAACTAACTCCGTGAGTAACATACGGACACGCTCACTGTCACAGTAACTAACTCCGTGAGTAACATACGGACCCGCTCACTGTCACAGTTACTAACTCCGTGAGTAACATACGGGCACGCTAACTGTCACAGTAACTAATTCCGTGAGTAACATACGGACACGCTCACTTTCACAGTAACTAACTCAGTGAGTAACATACGGACACGCTCACTGTCACAGTAACTAACTCCGTGGGTAACATACGGGCACCCTCACTGTCACAGTAACTAACTCCGTGGGTAACATACGGACACGCTCACTGTCACAGTAACTAACTTCGTGAGTAACATACGTACACGCTCGCTGTCACAGTAACTAACTCAGTGAGTAACATACGGACACGCTCTCTGTCACCGTAACTAATTCCGTGAGTAACATACGGACACACTCACTGTCACAGTAACTAACTCCGTGAGTAACATACGGACACGCTCACTGTCATAGTAACTAACTCCGTGAGTAACATACGGGCAACCTAACTGTCACAGTAACTAACTCCGTGGGTAACATACGGGCACCCTCACTGTCACAGTAACTAACTCCGTGGGTAACATACGAACACGCTCACTGTCACAGTAACTAACTCCGTGAGTCACTGTCACAGTAACTAACTCCGTGGGTAACAGTACGAACAAGCTACGAACACGCTCACTGTCACAGTAACTAACTCCGTGTCACAGTAACATACTCCGTGAGTATCACGTGAGTAACATACGGGCACCCTCACTGTCACAGTAACTAACTCCGTGAGTAACATACGGACACGCTCACTGTCACAGTAACTAACTCCGTGAGTAACATACGGACACGCTCACTGTCACAGTAACTAACTCCGTGAGTAACATACGGACACGCTCACTGTCACAGTAACTACTGTCACAGTAACTAACTCCGTGAGTAACATACGGACACGCTCACTGTCACAGTTACTAACTCCGTGAGTAACATACGTACACCCTCACTGTCACAGTGACTAACTCCGTGAGTAACATACGAACAAGCTCACTGTCACAGTAACTAACTCAGTGAGTAACATACGGACACGCTCACTGTCACAGTAACTAACTCAGTGAGTAACATACGGGCAACCTCACTGTCACAGTCACTAACTCCGTGAGTATCATACGGGCAACCTCAATGTCATAGTAACAATCTCCGTGAGTATCATACGGGCACCCTCACTGTCACAGTAACTAACTCCGTGAGTAACATACGGGCACCCTCACTGTCACAGTTACTAACTCCGTGAGTATTATACGGGCACCCTCACTGTCACAGTTACTAACTCCGTGAGTATTATACGGGCAACCTCATTGTCACTGCTACTAACTCCGTGAGTAACATACGGGCACCCTCACAGGCATACAGATGTAAACATTTTCTGTGAATTCTTTGATGTAAAGATAATAATCTGTATATATATATATATAAATAGTAAATTCTTTTTCTACCATATTAGGTTAGAGTTTTTCACTCTCAAGGCACCAAATAATCATTCCAGCTGTTGTATAAACATATATGTACAGATGACTTTGACCGAAATGGCGCTTCACGTGCTCACATAAGTTCAAGCGCGGTATGAAATAGTTCTATATTGTTCTTGTCATTATCATTTGTTCATACATATTTCAATCATACATTGGACTTGAAAATCCTATATTTGTTAATTTCTCGTTATAAGTTGTTATAAATAATAATATTCTTAAAAAACAAATCAGGAATTATCATTTTTTAATATCAATCAGTGGCATTTTACTTCAGGTAATATTAATGCGCTGCAACCAAAGTTCGTAAACATTTTTTTGAAGAAACCGGTCACACAAACTCGTGGTTGTTTATGGTGTTCATTTCACCTACGTTAGTTATCTTTACAAAGTCACGCGCTAAAGTTCGTGTTTTTTGTAACTTTTGAAAAATAACTAACTCAAGTGAAATAAATACTATAAACAGCAGCCACTCGTTGTGTAATCTCTACTTACTTCCAAATGGTATAGTACCATACCTCAAATGAAAAATTAATCTCTAGCCTTTTTTTCAACGTTGATATGAATGAAATATTATTTTTCAGGTTTGCGCATTTTGAGGTGGTGTCCATGCTTAATTATGATTATGTGTGTTTTCTATACAGGCTCCAGTGTTAACAAACTCTGTCTGGACGGCCACAGCTGTCGAGTCAGACACGGATGAAGCTCAGCTCTTCCTTATAGAATATACTGATGCCTCGGCGTCAGACTACGTCGATTGTGTTGTTCAGTCCTCTACACCAGCATCTAGCGACTTTTTTGTCCGTTACGACTCCGCAAATAGCAGTGAGTACAAATCCTCTGTATATTTACTCTAAGAATGAGTCCCGTGACTATACAATACAAAACAAACGTTTGCATGTTATATCCTAACCTTATTAGAAGACATTAAGTCAGATTAATTACCAATTATATATTAGTTCTCAGCCTATCTTTTAATACATATGTAATAGATGTCATATTCATTTCTATATCCCCATTAAAATTTTAAACCGGGAACCCTGACTTATTAGTCTAAAGCTCAACCGATCGAACCGTTCTCTCTAGCCGTGCGGTTTATTGTGGCTGGCATTGTCCAGGGTTACATACTCCCCCTTTAGGAAATAACTCATCAACAAGTTTTCCAATGGTTACAATGATGTTTATGGGACATGCTAAGTATTATTCCCCGAGTTCCTACATGGGCGCCAATGTAATAGAGGTCATTATTTATTCCAATGCCTCTGTTAGGATATGAACCCGGGACCGCTGGCTTACTAGTCTGACGCTCAACCGATTTGGCCAAAGCGAAGTTCTCCATAGCTGAGTGGTATCTTTCTAAACTGTTAAGCTTCGAGAGCTTTTCATGAACGGTCCTTAAAATCGTGAAACCTCGTAAATTTCCACATACTTATAGATTCCGCTATAATCTATGCAAGAGAATGGATAAAACGAGAACATACTGTGTTGGATTCACTTTCAGGTTGGTCTATTATTCTTTAAAGTATTAGCAGCTTGAAATCTGAAGTGAGGAAAAAAGTATACAGGTCAGTGTTGCTCCATCCTGATGTTAAATCCACACTTGAAGATTTACATGACAGGTGTGTCATTGTGACTACAGAAATGGCGTCCAATAACTTAAATTCTTGTTAACACATTTCCTGGCTGCAAAAATAACTAAGCCTACTCGATGACGAAGGACACTCAACGTACGCATTATGCTTTCTAAAGTGGAAATACTGGCTAAACATACTTCAGTATTACAATTAGATTGGCTGTTAATGATACGATTACGGAACCCCCTCCGTTTACATTGGATTCTTCACCAGAATCCATGTAAACAGTATTTACTTGCTGGTCATCCAACTGTTAAACCAAATTTTTGTCCAAATTACACACTATCATTCAGAGAAACATCGAATCTGGGTCATAGTCTCATTGTGACACTGTCTACTCAAGAAGTGGAATAATATTAAATGGAGTTTATAGAACAACAAAAAGCTGTTGACCAACCTTCAACAACCTCATCTAAAAACATTTCTACTATAAGAACATTTGATTTTTCCACCCTGTACACCACAATACCTTATTCTAAAATGAAGGAACGCCTATATTCTCTTGTTATGAGATCTTTTGTTCTCCAAAAAAGGTGAACGGCGGTATAAATATATAGTTGTGAACTATACTGGAGCGTATTTCGTAAAATCTATGTTCAAATCAAAGATATATACGAAATCATCAAAATGACCGAGTTTCTGGGTGACAATATTTTCCAACATACCTATGTGATCTAACTAAGCCCCTCTGTTGGATGACTTATCTTTTATTAACATTTTGGATAAAACTTCAATCACCAGACACTATGTGTCTAGTTGGACCTTAGATATAAGTTGAGGTAGAACAAGAAAAAGTTCGGATGCGTTGGCTTTGGAGTTACTATAGGAAATTGCAGGGGTATTTCTGCTTTAAAATCGAACGTTGGCTTAAACAGACAGGTGAAAACATTGCTTGCGTTATTCACATCAACATCATTATTTACAAACTCGACTTTCATAAGTTGGAAAGATGCCGGAGAATTGTGGCTATCTGTATGATGGTATTTTTCCAAAACACGAACACCCATTGACAGTATAGAATGCTTAGGAAGGTTTGCGCTACAGCTAAACCTCTTTATCTCCAACTCGGCGGGACCATGGGAACACTTCGAAATTACCAAGTGTTCGATTTAAATGAGTTTGAATGTTTTGTGTAAGATTAGGCAGGGAGCTATGGTTACTATCATAAGACATATCGGCTTCAAATGAAAGTGTTTCATCTTTTTATATTTCATTCTTTGCCTACTGATGTGTTTAGAGTTCGCGGTGTACGTACAACAGAATCCAAGTCTGACACAATCCTCTTATGCACTTGTGCTTGCTTGCACTGACCTGAGCGGAGACTCCGACACCGGAACACTCACCGTGACAGTTACACAGAACGCGGCTCCTGTCTTCCAAAACCCTGGCAGTAAGTGTTGTCATTATCGTCCAGAACGAGGCTCACATCAAGTCCAAGACAATGTAAAGCATCATCACTGAGATCTAGGCTTGTAATATGTAAACCGTCGCTCGCGGAAAATGGTCATATTAATGAATATATTCGCCACCCCTGACGTCTGTGTAATGACGTCATCACTTACTCTGGTAAGGCAATTCGTCATCGTTATACAAAACATGTTACCGTAATCAACTATGGCAATGGTGACAAGGGATGTAACTCCCGAGAATAGCAAACTGAACACACTGTTTTAGATTATGTGTCTACCTGTCTATTTCTACAAATATCTCCGAATTCGTTAGATCATAACTTGGCTTATACTTGGTCACACCCGTTGGGAAGATGAATGAAAATGAAAATTAATATATGTGTCACAAAGATATGTGTCCCCAAGAATATAGAAAACGTAATTAATAATCTATAATATATAAATACATAATAATATAAACAAAATTAATAATAATATGTTTAGTTTCCCCTTGTCTGGAGTTACCATCCTTGCAGCTATAATACATATTTATGGTCCGTGGGTTGGAAATTCGTGCTTGAAATCGGATAATATTTTCTGTATAATACGTCATTTATGTAAATCTGTTTTTCACAGGCTCCGTGACAATCGCCGGTGCATCCACCTCTGTGGGCACAACCGTCCACACGGTTACAACGACAGACTCGGACAGTCAGCAACTCTTCTACAACATGACCACTAGTCCTGTCGGGGCGCCCTTCCAAATACAAGACTGTAAGACTCCATTGTTTAAATTCATGACCAAAGTTAGACAACTCGTACTTGTGACTTTCGCTGTGTGTTGTGTCTCTACTTTGCATAAACGAGGTGGAGTATCACATGATTGGAAAAGATATGACAAAATGGCTGAACCAATCGATGAAACATTTCTGAGATAAACAACAAAATAAAGAGGATATTTCATAGTGTCGTCAACGATAACAGATATATTTCACAAAAGTCGGTCTAATATTTTACAGTCACCAGTAGGCAAAGATGAAGAAAGTACAAAATACGCAGAGAAGACCAAGATGATGCTATCTAACATCACAGCCATTGTCATAGTTCTTTCAGGAAGTGATAAAGCATATTACATATGACAGACCAATAAAAACGAATAAAATTGTAAAAACTGTATGAATTACATTAGGTATAAGAGTACCGATAACAGGGAAACATTAGCAAAGAAGATAGTTTAATTCAACATTGAATCTTGCTTTGGTTGATTTCATAGGGTGAAGAGTTGATCTGCATTTGAGACAAACTTAATGAACTGCTAATTGTCTCAAGAACAACTTTAGAATAGTAATTGTTTGCAATTTTATTGAAAAAGACAACATTTGCAAAGTCTCGTGCAGATATTACAACGTGGAAAAAAATCCGTTTTGCTAAAATTACCAAAATGTCCCAATTTTATTTATTTATTAATTGTTATGTGTATTATTTTTCTTTTATCAATTTATATTCTGAGAATCTTGAATGAATTCGAGTACTGTTATTCAAAGTTTGTTTTATACCTGGTGATATTTTGTGTTATACCTGGTGATATTTTGTTTTATACCTAGTGATATTTTGTTTTATACCTGGTGATATTTTGTTTTATAGCTGGTGATATTTTGTTTTATAGCTGGTGATATTTTGTTTTATAGCTGGTGATATTTTGTTTTATAGCTGGTGATATTTTGTTTTATAGCTGGTGATATTTTGTGTTATAACTGATGATATTTTGCTTTATAGCTGGTGATATTTTGTTTTATAGCTGGTGATATTTTGTTTTATAGCTGGTGATATTTTGTTTTATACCTGGTGATATTTTGTTTTATAGCTGGTGATATTTTGTTTTATAGCTGGTGATATTTTGTTTTATAGCTGGTGATATTTTGTTTTATACCTGGTGATATTTTGTTTTATACCTGGTGATATTTTGTTTTATACCTGGTGATATTTTGTTTTATAGCTGGTGATATTTTGTGTTATAGCTGGTGATATTTTGTGTTATAGCTGGTGATATTTTGTTTTATAGCTGGTGATATTTTGTTTTATAGCTGGTGATATTTTGTTTTATAGCTGGTGATATTTTGTGTTATACCTGGTGATATTTTGCTTTATAGCGGGTGATATTTTGTGTTATAGCTAGTGATATTTTGTGTTATAGCTGTGATATTTTGTTTTATAGCTGGTGATATTTTGTTTATCATTTTGCTGGTGATATTTTGTTTTATACCTAGTGATATTTTGTTTTATACCTGGTGATATTTTGTTTTATACCTGGTGATATTTTGTTTTATAGCTGGTGATATTTTGTTCTATGGCTGGTGATATTTTGTTTTATAGCTGGTGATATTTTGTTTTATACCTAGTGATATTTTGTGTTGTACCTGGTGATATTTTGTGTTATAGCTGGTGATATTTTGTGTTATAACTGGTGATATTTTGTCTTATAGCTGGTGATATTTTGTTTTATAGCTGGTGATATTTTGTTTTATAGCTGGTGATATTTTGTGTTATAGCTTGATATTTTGTTTTATAGCTGGTGATATTTTGTTTTATAGCTGGTGATATTTTGTTTTATAGCTGGTGATATTTTGTTTTATAGCTGGTGATATTTTGTTTTATAGCTGGTGATATTTTGTTTTCTAGCTGGTGATATTTTGTTTTATAGCTGTTGATATTTTGTTTTATAGCTGGTGATATTTTGTTTTATAGCTGGTGATATTTTGTTTTATAGGGTGATATTTTGTTTTATAGCTGGTGATATTTTGTTTTATAGCTGGTGATATTTTGTTTTATAGCTGGTGATATTTTGTATTTTGTAGCTGGTGATATTTTGTTTTATAGCTGGTGATATTTTGTTTTATAGCTGGTGATATTTTGTTTTATAGCTGGTGATATTTTGTTTTATAGCTGGTGATATTTTGTTTTATAGCTGGTGATATTTTGTTTTATAGCTGGTGATATTTTCTTTTAGATCTTGTGATATTTTGTTTTATAGCTGGTGATATTTTGTTTTCTAGCTGGTGATATTTTGTTTTATAGCTGGTGATATTTTGTTTTATAGCTGGTGATATTTTGTTTTATAGCTGGTGATATTTTGTTTTATACCTGGTGATATTTTGTTTTATAGCTGGTGATATTTTGTTTTATAGCTGGTGATATTTTGTTTTATAGCTGGTGATATTTTGTTTTATAGCTGGTGATATTTTGTTTTATAGCTGGTGATATTTTGTTTTATAGCTGGTGATATTTTGTTTTATAACTGGTGATATTTTGTTTTATACTGGTGATATTTTGTTTTATATATACTGGTGATATTTTGTTTTATAGCTGTGATTTTTGTTTTATAGCTGGTGATATTTTGTTTTATAGCTGGTGATATTTTGTTTTATAGCTGGTGATATTTTGTTTTATAGCTGGTGATATTTTGTTTTATAGCTGGTGATATTTTGTTTTATAGCTGGTGATATTTTGTTTTATAGCTGGTGATATTTTGTTTTATAGCTGGTGATATTTTGTTCTATAGCTGGTGATATTTTGTTTTATACCTGGTGATATTTTGTTTTATAGCTGGTGATATTTTGTTTTATAGCTGGTGATATTTTGTTTTATAGCTGGTGATATTTTGTTTTATACCTGGTGATATTTTGTTTTATAGCTGGTGATATTTTGTTTTATACCTGGTGATATTTTGTTTTATAGCTGGTGATATTTTATTTTATAGCTGGTGATATTTTGTTTTATAGCTGGTGATATTTTGTTTTATAGCTGGTGATATTTTGTGTTATAGCTGACGATATTTTGTTTTATAGCTGGTGATATTTTGTTTTATAGCTGGTGATATTTTGTTTTATAGCTGGTGATATTTTGTTTTATAGCTGGTGATATTTTGTTTTATAGCTGGTGATATTTTGTTTTATAGCTGGTGATATTTTGTTTTATACCTGGTGATATTTTGTGTTATATCTGGTGATATTTTGTTTGATAGAGGGTGATATTTTGTTTTATAGCTGGTGATATTTTGTTTTATAGCTGGTGATATTTTGTTTTATAGCTGGTGATATTTTGTGTTATAGCTGGTGATATTTTGTTTTATAACTGGTGATATTTTGTTTTATACCTGGTGATATTTTGTTTTATACCTGGTGATATTTTGTTTTATACCTGGTGATATTTTGTTTTATAGCTGGTGATATTTTGTTTTATAGCTGGTGATATTTTGTTTTATAGCTGGTGATATTTTGTTTTATAGCTGGTGATATTTTGTTTTATAACGGGTGATATTTTGTTTTATAGCTGGTGATATTTTGTTTTATAGCTGGTGATATTTTGTTTTATAGCTGGTGATATTTTGTTTTATAGCTGGTGATATTTTGTTTTATAGCTGGTGATATTTTGTTTTATACCTGGTGATATTTTGTTTTATAACTGGTGATATTTTGTTTTATAACTGGTGATATTTTGTTTTATAACTGGTGATATTTTGTTTTATAGCTGGTGATATTTTGTTTTATAGCTGGAGATATTTTGTTTTATAGCTGGTGATATTTTGTTTTATAGCTGGTGATATTTTGTTTTATAGCTGGTGATATTTTGTTTTATAGCTGGTGATATTTTGTTTTATAGCTGGTGATATTTTGTTTTATAGCTGGTGATATTTTGTTTTATAGCTGGTGATATTTTGTTTTATAGCTGGTGATATTTTGTGTTATAGCTGGTGATATTTTGTTTTATAGCTGGTGATATTTTGTTTTATAGCTGGTGATATTTTGTTTTATACCTGGTGATATTTTGTTTTATAGCTGGTGATATTTTGTTTTATACCTGGTGATATTTTGTTTTATAGCTGGTGATATTTTGTTTTATAGCTGGTGATATTTTGTTTTATAGCTGGTGATATTTTGTTTTATAGCTGGTGATATTTTGTTTTATAGCTGGTGATATTTTGTTTTATACCTGGTGATATTTTGTTTTATAACTGGTGATATTTTGTTTTATAGCTGGTGATATTTTGTTTTATAGCTGGAGATATTTTGTTTTATAGCTGGTGATATTTTGTTTTATAGCTGGTGATATTTTGTTTTATAGCTGGTGATATTTTGTTTTATAGCTGGTGATATTTTGTGTTATAGCTGATGATATTTTGTTTTATAGCTGGTGATATTTTGTTTTATAGCTGGTGATATTTTGTTTTATAACTGGTGATATTTTGTTTGATAACTGGTGATATTTTGTTTTATAAGTGGTGATATTTTGTGTTATAACTGGTGATATTTTGTTTTATAACTGGTGATATTTTGTGTTATAACTGGTGATATTTTGTTTTATACCTGGTGATATTTTGTGTTATAGCTAGTGATATTTTGTGTTATAGCTGTGATATTTTGTTTTATAGCTGGTGATATTTTGTTTGATAGCGGGTGATATTTTGTTTTATAGCTGGTGATATTTTGTTTTATAACTGGTGATATTTTGTTTTATAGCTGGTGATATTTTGTTTTATAGCTGGTGATATTTTGTGTTATAGCTGGTGATATTTTGTTTTATAGCTGGTGATATTTTGTTTTATAGCTGGTGATATTTTGTTTTATAGCTGGTGATATTTTGTTTTATACCTGGTGATATTTTGTTTTATAACTGGTGATATTTTGTTTTATAGCTGGTGATATTTTGTTTTATAGCTGGTGATATTTTGTTTTATAGCTGGTGATATTTTGTTTTATAGCTGGTGATATTTTGTTTTATATCGGGTGATATTTTGTTTTATAGCTGGTGATATTTTGTTTTATAGTTTTATAGCTGGTGATATTTTGTTTTATAGCTGGTGATATTTTGTTTTATAGCTGGTGATATTTTGTTTTATACCTGGTGATATTTTGTTTTATATATTTTGTTTTATACCTGGTGATATTTTGTTTTATAGCTGGTGATATTTTGTTTTATAACTGGTGATATTTTGTGTTATAGCTGGTGATATTTTGTTTTATAGCTGGTGATATTTTGTTTTATAGCTGGTGATATTTTGTTTTATAGCTGGTGATATTTTGTTTTATAGTTTTATAGCTGGTGATATTTTGTTTTATAACTGGTGATATTTTGTTTTATAGCTGGTGATATTTTGTTTTATAGCTGGTGATATTTTGTTTTATACCTGGTGATATTTTGTTTTATAGCTGGTGATATTTTGTTTTATAGCTGGTGATATTTTGTTTTATAACTGGTGATATTTTGTTTTATAGCTGGTGATATTTTGTTTTATAGCTGGTGATATTTTGTTTTATAGCTGGTGATATTTTGTGTTATAGCTGGTGATATTTTGTTTTATAGCTGGTGATATTTTGTTTTATAGCTGGTGATATTTTGTTTTATAACTGGTGATATTTTGTTTTATAACTGGTGATATTTTGTTTTATATCGGGTGATATTTTGTTTTATAGCTGGTGATATTTTGTTTTATAGCTGGTGATATTTTGTTTTATAGCTGGTGATATTTTGTTTTATAGCTGGTGATATTTTGTTTTATAGCTGGTGATATTTTGTTTTATATATGGTGATATGGTGATATTTTGTTTTATAGCTGGAGATATTTTGTGTTATAGCTGGTGATATTTTGTGTTATAGCTGGTGATATTTTGTTTTATAGCTGGTGATATTTTGTTTTATACCTGGTGATATTTTGTTTTATAGCTGGTGATATTTTGTTTTATAGCTGGTGATATTTTGTTTTATAGCTGGTGATATTTTGTGTTATAGCTGGTGATATTTTGTTTTATAGCTGGTGATATTTTGTTTTATAGCTGGTGATATTTTGTTTTATAGCTGGTGATATTTTGTTTTATAGCTGGTGATATTTTGTTTTATAGCTGGTGATATTTTGTTTTATAGCTGGTGATATTTTGTTTTATAGCTGGTGATATTTTGTTTTATATCTGATATTTTGTTTTATAGCTGGTGATATTTTGTTTTATAACTGGTGATGTTTTGTTTTATAGCTGGTGATATTTTGTGTTATAGCTGGTGATATTTTGTTTTATAGCTGGTGATATTTTGTGTTATAGCTGGTGATATTTTGTTTTATAGCTGGTGATATTTTGTTTTATTTGATATAGATATTTTGTTTTATAGCTGGTGATATTTTGTTTTATAGCTGGTGATATTTTGTGTTATACCTGGTGATATCTTGTTTTATAGCTGGAGATATTTTGTTTTATAACGGGTGATATTTTGTTTTATAGCTGGTGATATTTTGTTTTATAGCTGGTGATATTTTGTTTTATAACTGGTGATATTTTGTTTTATAGCTGGTGATATTTTGTTTTATAGCTGGTGATATTTTGTTTTATAGCTGGTGATATTTTGTTTTATAGCTGGTGATATTTTGTTTTATAGCTGGTGATATTTTGTTTTATAACTGGTGATATTTTGTTTTATAACTGGTGATATTTTGTTTTATAACTGGTGATATTTTGTTTTATACCTGGTGATATTTTGTTTTATACCTGGTGATATTTTGTTTTATAGCTGGTGATATTTTGTTTTATAGCTGGTGATATTTTGTTTTATAGCTGGTGATATTTTGTTTTATAGCTGGTGATATTTTGTTCTATAGCTGGTGATATTTTGTTTTATAACGGATATTTTGTTTTATATATATTTTGTTTTATAGCTGGTGATATTTTGTTTTATAGCTGGTGATATTTTGTTTTATAGCTGGTGATATTTTGTTTTATAACTGGTGATATTTTGTTTTATAGCTGGTGATATTTTGTTTTATAACTGGTGATATTTTGTTTTATAACTGGTGATATTTTGTGTTATACCTGGTGATATTTTGTGTTATACCTGGTGATATTTTGTTTTATAACTGGTGATATTTTGTTTTATAACTGGTGATATTTTGTTTTATAACTGGTGATATTTTGTTTTATAACTGGTGATATTTTGTTTTATAGCTGGTGATATTTTGTTTTATAGCTGGTGATATTTTGTTTTATACCTGGTGATATTTTGTTTTATACCTGGTGATATTTTGTTTTATATCGGGTGATATTTTGTGTTATAACTGGTGATATTTTGTTTTATAACTGGTGATATTTTGTTTTATAACTGGTGATATTTTGTTTTATAACTGGTGATATTTTGTTTTATAGGGTATATTTTGTTTTATAACAGGTGATATTTTGTGTTATGATATACTTTGTCCATTTATACTGGTGATATTTTGTTTGTATATGACAACTACAATCTCGTGGGACCGGTGATATTTTGTTTGTATAGTCATGGTGATATTTTGTTGTTATAAGATGGTGATATTTTGTTTTATACGTGATATTTTGTTAGCGTTATAGGGTGATATTTTGTTTTATAATGGTGATATTTTGTTGTTCTGTAACCTCTGTGTAACAATTTGCCTGGCACTGCAAGCGTGGCGGAAAACACGGCGTCCGGAACGTCTATATTCCAGGTGACCGCCACAGAGTCGGACGCCGGACAGACATTAACATATACTTCGTTCGCCAACCCTGGTTCAGCAATGTCATACCTCAGCATGGACAGTTCAAGTCAGTATCCATTGTCTGTGTTTACTTGATTATAATATATGTAACCCTGGTAAATACATGTACTACCCGCAATATAGCGCTCGGTTAGAGAGACCTTCTCTTTAGCTAGATCTGTTGAACGCCAACAGTCCCCGTTGCGAATCCTTGCGGAGACATTGAAATTTTTTTTGGTTTCTTTATTTAACTTGAAGCCTTACGGCTCATAAACATTCATAACACCATATAAGTGAAACATAAGTAATATGAGATGCAAAGACTTTGTGTTATCACGTATAAAGCATAATATTGTAGGTAGTATTTACTTAGTATAAATACTCAGTCATTGTCATGTACAAGATAGACAAATTAACGGAAGATGAACAGCTCTTGTATAGTTACTCTATATCAGTGTACATTGACTTTATATAGGAATACATCAGCTAGAATAGAGCGCTGTGACAACATTTACTATCAATATTATCAGATAAATGCTCGAACAGGGCATATATATGTATAGAGTTTTGTAGTCAGGGGATTAACGGCAACTATATATATAATGATGTAGACAGACAAATGATCATGCAATGTGTATTAAAGTGAAAATACAATAAGTTAGAGTTGAAGTTGGTATTTCACCTTGTAAATTACATAATTATATACAGCCGGCCTCTTGTCCACGTCATCAACCAATATCAATTTTGAAACGGCGGCGGCAACGACTGTGACAGTGTCTGTGATAGTGAGCGACGGAACGGCGACTGTGACGGCCGACCTGACTCTAACCATAACCGACGTCAACGAGGCGCCGTCATTTCAGAAGGCACAGTACACCTCGAGTGGCAGCGAAGGTTTGGTATGTTTATGGTATTGTTTGAGGCACAATATCGGCAGACTAGTAAGAACAGATGCATAACTGTCCCGTTCGTCTTTGTTTTGAAACGTGTACATGTTTAGTGTAAGGCGCTTTGTTAAACACGTTAAGTCATTACGTCATTCCTTATGTAATATACCAACAACACTGATCGGACCAATCTGAACGCCACGCTCAATCGTATGATTGATCTGGTTTGTGAGTTTGTTCCCGTGTGTTTCATCGAGCCATGTTCTAGTCCCCTGGTGTGAAAGCGTTCCTATAGCTTTCCTCTCCGTCCGTCCACCCGTCCATCTGTCCTTCTTTCCGTCCGTTTGTGTAGGTATGTTTATCAGTTTATCAGCACTCTTGCGACTTCATTCCTAATGGAATATTGATTAAACCTCACGAACTCTCTGAAGACTAAAATATATGTGATAAGTTTTAAGGTTTGTTAGGTTAAGGCCCTGGTCACTGTTACTAATTTTAGATATTCATTGTCAGCGCTCTAGCGTCTTGATGGATCACACTTCACACTTCGCACACGTATAAGTGCCAGAATATCCTGAACAAGTTTAAGTGTCAGGGTTGTTGGGTCAAGATCTTTTTTTTTTTTTTAGAAAATCAATCATTTTCAGTGTTCCAGTGTTTTCAGTCCTCAATGATTCTAAGCAAACTCTACATTTAAAAGGTGTAATAGCTTGCGTGGACAGGTAGGGGATATGTTCTCTTCAGTAAGATTATTCCTTTTTAATGAAGTTGATTTACTGGTTTTAATTGGATAGGTATATCGATAGACATTGTATAAACAAAATATGATTGGTGTCTTTGCTTGTTGTCAGGCTGGTACTAGCTTCAGTAATCCTAACTTTGTGATAAATGATGAGGACACTTCTGATACACATACCTACACCATTGACTGCCCGTCCACATTCGCAATGGACCCAACCACTGCTGCTTTAGCTCTTGTTACAACCTATGACGTCGACACCGGAGGTGCCGCAACGACAGTCACGTGCACAGCTACGGTTTCGGATTCCCAGTTAACCGACACGACATCGTTAACAATGACCGTGAATAACATCAACGACAACACGCCGACGTTTAGTCCATCCGTGTATGTCTGGAATATGGACAGTTCTAGCACCATCGGTAGTACGGTCGGTTCTGTGACAGCAACAGATGGCGACATTGGAACCTTCGGTTGGTATTGTCTGTTGTATTTGTAGCTTACTTAATCAATGTTTTGGATTTTACGAATTTTAAGCCAATGGTTTCTGTCCTTTAGAATCGAAAACATTTAAAGAATTGTACTATTGCATATTTCAATAATGGAAGATATTCAAACGTAACATTACCATTACTTAATATTGTTTGAACATTTAGAAGCTTGAGTAAATGTTTGTTAACATTGTGTGACGATGCTATATTGAAATATGTGTAATATGTATAGTGTGTGTATATTGAAAGTCGGTGATTGTGTTATTGGAGTATTACGATTGTACAAAAGGATACACTCGTTCATGCAAAGGTGTTCATTTCATTAAGACTTGATACCGAGTGTCTATTGTTGGGACCTTCAGCGCCTGACAACATGTCAATGGTCAGTTTTTAAGACTTATTGACGTGTCAGATTTCAACCAATTTCCACTTTTTACTTATGCTAATTTTAACGTTCCATGGACATTCGAATTCGTGGAGCTAAAATACCCTTAATATCAACGAAAACAAAACGCCACTGAAATTCATCATTTTACAGGGTATTTACATATTTCTCTTTATCTAGGGACGTTTTCGTACACGCTGGACACTTCCACAGACGCTGCTTACTTTGGTGTTACTAGCGCCGGTGTCGTTTACGTCAAAAGCAACGTTGCATCGCTTGGTGCTGCCGGCAGTACACTTGCATTCATCGTCACGGCAAACGACACTGGAGGTTTATCAACGAATGCAGCAATACAGATTATCATTCCCGCTACAACTACTACCTCAACTACTACTACAACTGACCGACACCTCACGTTTGCTGAGAGTACGAGCAATGTGGCGTGGCTGACCACATTCTGTGGCGCGGGAGCGCTACTTTTTGGTCTTTTGATGTTTATGGCTTATAAAAATGGCTTATTTTCGTGGTTTGTGGATGCGTTGGAGAGACTATGGGACGCTTGCAGACCGAGGTATCCTTTCACTACTCCTTTTCCCGCTGTAATGTTTGTTCAAAGTTTCATAATGACATCCTTTTATATACTAAAATTCGCGGTGAAATCTCTTGGTCACGTGACTACTTGTGATTGTAGCGTCTCCAATACTCCAAGAACATCACAAAGGAACATTACAATTTGTGGTGTTTTCATGCTTCAGCTGATTCGGTATTCAGCACCATGTTCCCATTATCTCGCAACAAGTCGTGAACTGACGGACAAACTCGTAACACAGGGTTTAAAAGATGCAGGTTGATGAAAATTATGTGAAAGTTTAACGGTCGTCTAACTGATCTCATTGAGAAATATTCTATTTCTTAGCGCGACATAAAGCTAGGAGTGTTAGTTTGTCTGTTGGTTCCGTTGTTGTATACCTTGTTCTTATTTTGAGAATGTGACATGACTTCCTTGGATTGATCAATGTTTACATGGCGGGTGTCGTTGATGAAGCAGACGGCGTTTGTTCATAGTTTCCCCTAGTTTTATTGAATTTGAGTTTGGCTTATCAACATGATGACATGTTGTTATTTTCTTGCTGTTTCTTATAAAAGAAAAACATTTTGGAAGAAATATTTTAAACGAATGACTTCTGATTTTGTCTCTTAAACACATCTCAATACTTCATTTTCCATCCATCTATGTCATGTTACGAACTAATTTCAAATGACCACTTTCGGTTTGAACAAAACAAACTGATTGCAAGGAATCATTCTAATTTTTCCTAAATATAAAACAATACCTGACAATTGATATTTTGCATTACTTATACCTGTAATGGTAAAGGTACACATCAGTTATAGAGAGAACAACATGACTATCAACGAAGTGGCAGAATCATTGTCCGTTCGACCTTCCTAGTATATAATTATGATATCCATTTTACGGAGATGATAATCTGAGGTTTTAGTTGGTAAATATTAATCATAGCAGGTGCCGTGACCCCCCAGCAGACGAGGAGGAATTTGAGGAGGAAAGTGAAGAGGAGGAGGAAGAAGAATATGGTGAGTACATCTGTTTAAACGTTGTGTAAAAGTAATCAATGCTGTACCCCTAACATATATTGTTACAGGCAAATGACTTAAGGAAGCTTGTTTTCCCTTCTCAGATGAGAAAAGTAGCAAGTTCTCTCTCCACACCAAGAAAAACCCAAAGTTTTCCCATCCAGCATTAATGGTCATCTAGGATTGATCAGTCCATTGTCAGCAAAATGTGGTCACGCAGGGTATCCCGTTTCTGAATGGATGGCATTTCAGCGTGACAGCACTATAAAATTCTTGCCGATTTACACCATTATCCGTGGACGCCGCTTTGAAACGACATCACTTTTTGCGAAGATTTAAATACCACAAAAGAACAGACCATCTGAGAAACCTGCTCTTCATGCAGTCAGTTCATCCACCGTTCATTTTACAATCACGTCTGCCCGTTACTCTTTGTTACTCGATTCATCATGTCGTCATCACTACTCTTAACTCATTTTTTTTTTCATTGAAAGAGTAAGAAATACATGTATTCACTCTCCTCCATTAATTAAAAACAAAACTTAATCCTACTCCTACTAGACTTCAAATCTGATGTATCAATGATATGAAACTCATGTTTAATCGGAAGTAGAACATAATTCAATTGTAAGATAAAACCTGTGAACTGTATTTTGTGACGTCATCGTTGGTGTCGTAATTCGGTTTTCAGCATCAATCATGCCAATGTTTTGCCGTTGCTTGGGCACTTCTCTTGAGTATAATTCTTCAGGAGGTTTTGACAAACTTTTGCATGAATTGTTACTACAAATTACAGATTTGGCGGATCACATTTCTTGAAATATCAATATCAAAAAGACAATAAACATTAAAAAGGTTGAATTTCCGCATATTGTCAAATAAAGGATTTAAGCAATTTTTCAATATATATATATATATGTCATTCGGTTGCTATGGAGATGTACGGCTGAGTATTTTGAGATTATTGTTTCTTTGTACCTTTCTATTGCACTTTAAGGAGAAAAAAAGAAGTTTGTTGGAAAGTCCGCCTCGAGAACTCGAGAATAACCAAGAGCTCTGGTTATTCACGAAAAGATTAAGAAAAATAACGAAAGTGCATAGTTCCTAAAACCCATATGCCGACGCCTGTAGCGAATTTGTTATTTTTCTCGTTTTAAATAACTTTCTCACAAAATAAAATTTAAAAAAAAAACATTTTTTTCTGACAAAAAGTCAAATTGTCGAAGTTTATTGCGTTTATGTTTCGCACATCCACACATTTCGTGGTCCCTAAAAAGCTGCTCGTTTTGGCTCTTGTTGATTTCATTGATAAACAGAACTCAAAAAATAAACTGATTCTGAAATTAATGTCAATCTTCCATTTAATTTTTCATGGTATTTTGATTTCATGGATTAACTACGAAATTAAAGACAATAAACCTCCACAAAAATTAATTGTATTACGGTATGCATATTTCCAGTCATGCCTATCTCTTACTAAACATCCACAAAAATTAATTGTTTTACGGTATGCATATTTCCAGTCATGCCTATCTCTTACTAAACCTCCACAAAAATTAATTGTTTTACGGTATGCATATTTCCAGTCATGCCTATCTCTTACTAAACCTCCACAAAAATTAATTGTTTTACGGTATGCATATTTTCACTCATGCATATCTCTTACTAAACCTCCACAAAAATTAATTGTTTTACGGTATGCATATTTCCAGTCATGCCTATCTCTTACTAAACCTCCACAAAAATTAATTGTTTTACGGTATGCATATTTCCAGTCATGCCTATCTCTTACTAAACATCCACAAAAATTAATTGTTTTACGGTATGCATATTTCCAGTCATGCCTATCTCTTACTAAACCTCCACAAAAATTAATTGTTTTACGGTATGCATATTTTCACTCATGCATATCTCTTACTAAACCTCCACAAAAATTAATTGTTTTACTGTACGCATATTTTCAGTCATGCATATATCTATTCATTGTGTGTAATTTGAAGCTTGGATCATGTGTTATTTGCTGGCTTTTGTTGGCGTCGAATTTATACAGAAAAATGTTTTAATACGTTTTTAGTGTACACGCCACCTGTACGCAACCAGAAAGTGGTCACTATAGGGGATTACGGTTGGAACCCGTGGAAACAGGACAAGTAAGTTGGGATATTAATTTGAAAAATATCACGTTGTTTTATTTGTTTATTCATGAATTTTATCTATTTAATTATCTTTTTGTTATTATTGATTATATATTGACGACATCACTATTTGATTTGTATGTAAACAACGAAGTACTTAAAATTATATATAGCTGAAAATTACTATGAAACAGTCATTTCTGATAGGTTTTTCACAGTACTCATGGGGTTTTGTGAGATAATGTTAAGGCATAACAATTTTGCTCCTGATTTTCAACCCGATCTTGGAAATTACATGAATTATTCCTGAGCGAAGCTTTCACGTGTATGCGACTTAAAAAGAGCAACATATATCAACAAAATTATTGATTCAAACTCAAATTTATTACAACTATAGCAAAACATGAACAAAAGGAACATAAACACCGAACTCCTGAAAAATTACAATGTGAACAAGACCAGGTGTTCCGGAAGATTAAGTGTCTTCTGTTTCTTTTACTGCATCCGCCATAAATATTTATATACACTGATTTCTTAATCAATGTTCTTTTTATTTATATTCCATGTATTGAATATTTAACACTTACATTCCAAGTATTGAATATTTAACAGTTACATTCCATGTATTGAATATTTAACAGTTACATTCCATGTATTGAATATTTAACACTTACATTCCATATATTGAATATTTAACACTTACATTCCAAGTATTGAATATTTAACAGTTACAGTCCATGTACTGAATATTTAACAGTTACATTCCATGTATTGAATATTTAACACTTACATTCCAAGTATTGATATTTAACAGTCACATTCCATGTATTGAATATTTAACATTTACATTCTATATATTGAATATTTAACACTTACATTCCATGTACTGAATATTTATCAGTTACATTCCATGTATTGAATATTTAACAGTTACATTCCATATATTGAATATTTAACACTTACATTCCAAGTATTGAATATTTAACATTCCATGTATTGAATATTTAACACTTACATTCCATGTATTGAATATTTAACATTCCATGTATTGAATATTTATCAGTTACATTCCATGTATTGAATATTTAACATTTACATTCCATGTTTTGAATATTTAACAGTTACATTCCATGTATTGAATATCTAACAGTTACATTCCATATATTGAATATTTAACACTTACATTCCAAGTATTGAATATTTAACATTCCATGTATTGAATATTTAACACTTACATTCCATGTATTGAATATTTAACATTCCATGTATTGAATATTTAACAGTTACATTCCATGTATTGAATATTTAACATTTACATTCCATGTATTGAATATTTAACAGTTACATTCCATGTATTGAATATCTAACAGTTACATTCCATGTATTGAATATTCATCACGAACTTTTCTGTTTTTTTTTCTTTTCACAGTGAATACTAAGAAAGAAATACCACCTAGAAGTGACGTGAAATGGACGTGTTTCCTGTAAGGAAGATATTATTACTTTTACGTGTACCATCGCTACAACGACACCAAATGGGCTTAAAACAGGAAGAGAAAGCTTCGACATTTTATAATTCTAATTTAATTTATAATAGCTCATCAATGTGTTGCCTGTACGTAGACTGCAGTGTATGTTCATTAATTGGTATCCGGAAGTTTATTTTATTTCCGGAAACATACAAATCTACTGTCTCATTGATAACATGTTTTAACGTCACGTGATTAGCATTGTAAATCTCTTGTATTCTTGTTTTCCTTTTTTCGACAGACGAATTTTTTGTTAATTATTTATCAATATCAATGAATGTTATTTATGTTTTCAAAGTTGATGTATTTTGGCGTACTAATTTACATATTCACAGCATATTGTGATGTTTAAACAAGATCACCGAAAAAGTAAACGATTATTGTTGTAAATCTGGTTTGTAGTTCTGTGTGTCTTACAAAGTTTCATTATTTAAATGTTTGTTAATCAATCTTAGCCGATAATTCATCAAGCAAAATCGTATTCATGTGTCTTGTAGCTTAATGACGTATTCCCTATTGGTGTGTCTTGTAGCTTAATGACGTATTCCCTATTGGTGTGTCTTGTAGCTTAATGACGCATTCCCTATAGGTGTGTCTTGTAGCTTAATGACGCATTCCCTATATCCGTGTCTTGTAGCTTAATGACACATTCCCAATAGGTGTGTCTTGTAGCTTGATGACACATTCCCTATAGCCGTGTCTTGTACCTTAATGACACATTCCCAATAGGTGTGTCTTATACCTTAATGACACATACCCTATAGCCGTGTCTTGTACCTTAATGACACATTCCCAATAGGTGTGTCTTGTAGCTTAATGACACTTTCCCAATAGGTGTGTCTTGTAGCTTAATGACACTTTCCCAATAAGTGTGTCTTGTAGCTTAATGACACTTTCCCAATAGGTGTGTCTTGTAGCTTAATGACACATTCCCTATAAGTGTGTCTTGTAGCTTAATGACACATTCCCTATAGGTGTGTCTTGTAGCTTAATGACGTATTCCCTATTGGTGTGTCTTGTAGCTTAATAACACTTTCCCTATAGGTGTGTCTTGTAGCCTAATGACGCATTCCCTATAAGTGTGTCCTGTAGCTTAATGACGCATTCCCTATAAGTGTGTCTTGTAGCTTAATGACACATTCCGTATAGCCGTGTCTTGTAGCTTAATGACGCATTAATTATTGCCGTGTCTTGTAGCTTAATGACACATTTCCTATATGTGTGTCCTGTAGCTTAATGACACATTCCCTATAGGTGTGTCTTGTACCTTAATGACACATTTCCTATAGGTGTGTCTTGTACCTTAATGACACATTCCCTTTAGGTGTACCTTGTACCTTAATGACACATTTCCTATAGGTGTGCCTTGTACCTTAATGACACATTTCCTATAGGTGTGTCTTGTAGCTTAATGACACATTCCCTATAGGTTTGTCTTGTAGCTTAATGACGCGTTGCCTATAGGTGTGTCTTGTACCTAATTGACACGGTCCTGATAGTTGTTTCTTGTCGCTTAAATCTTAAAGACATTTTCCCTTTTGGGCGCATCTACTAGGTATATAACGTAATTCAGTCTCTATAGGTGTGCTGTGAAGCTCAATAAAGCTGTCCCTATAGGTGTGCTGTGAAGCTCAATAAAGCTGTCCCTATAGGTGTGCTGTGAAACTCAATAAAGCTGTCCCTATAGGTGTGCTGTAAGGCTATATACGCTGTCCCTATAGGGGTGCTATGAGGCTAAATGACGCTGTCCCTAAAGGTGTGCTGTAAGGCTATATGACGCTGTCCCTATAGGGGTGCTGTGAGGCTAAATGACGCTGTCCCTATAGGTGAGCTGTGAAGGTAAATGACGCTGTCACTATAGATCTGCTGTGAGGCTAAATGACGTTGTCCCTATAGGTGTACTGTGAGACTAAATGACGCTGTCCCTATAGGTGAGCTGTGAAGCGCAATGACACTGTCACTATAGATCTGCTGTGAGGCTAAATGTCGCTGTCCCTATAGGTGTGCATTGAGACTAAATGACGCTGTCCCTATAGGTATGATGTGAAGTTCAATGACGCTGTCCCAATACGTGAGCTGTGACGCAAAATGACGCTGTCTCTATGAGTGTGCTCTGTAGCTCAATGACGCTGTCCTTATATGAGTATTGTGAGGCTAAATGACGTTGTCCCTATAGGTAAACTGAGACGCTAAATGACGCTGTCCCTATAGGTGTGCTGTGACGCTAAATGACGCTATCCCTATAGGTGAACTGTGAAGCTAAATGACGCTGTCCCTATAGGTGAGCTGTGGAGGTAAATGACGCTGTCCCTATAGGTGAGCTGTGGAGGTAAATGACGCTATCCCTATAGGTGAACTGTGAAGCTAAATGACGCTGTCCCTATAGGTGTGCTCTGTAGCTCAATGACGCTGTCCCTATAGGTGTACTGTGACGCTAAATGACGCTGTCATTCTGTTTTTCAGAAGTCCATGTGTGATTCTTTTTTTTGTTTTATATTCTATATTTGGTTTATAGTTGTTATATTTTTATATTTTCCGTAAGTATTGGCAATAAACTTTTACTGTAACACAGTATATCCTCGGCGTAGATAACCCGAGTGACAAAGCTATTGATAATAAATGTAAAGTCAATATTAACAAGGCATTAGAGTTTGACTTCGTTTCCTTTGAGAATTAGATTTGCCAGTCAATCAAATGATAAAGCGATTTAACAGACACCGAAACTGATGTTTAACGAAATGGAGCAAAATGAAAGTATTGTTTGCAAATATGAATAACTTACGTGTTTCTAACATCGTTTAAAATACTTCAAAGAAGATTAAAGCGATCTGTTTGGAGAATTTTGTTGGTTGTCGGAGAAGTTCGGTGGTTATCGGTTTGTGATCGCCATCTTGATCTCTCTTGGAAGTGTCATATTTCTGATGAGATGTGACCTGAGATTGAGGATGGTTTCATTACTATTACTGTTATCTAATACCTGGATTTATTCTTCTTGTAGTTCTTGACGTGTCTTTGTCCTATTTATGAGTCTGAATTAAAACTTCGTCGTCATGTAAAAGAGGTCATTATCTATTTCAATGCTTCCGCTAGGATTCGAACCCGAAATCCCTGGCTTACTGGAGTAACGTTCAACCTATCGAGTTAAAGAGAAGTTCACTCTAGCCGAACGGTAAATTGCAGTTTATACTTACCAGGGTTACATAAGTATTCTTTTGTTACATTTGTACTTAGTAATAATGTGTAACGAATTCGAGGGTGATATTTTTTACAGTCGAACCTCGTTATCTCGAATGAATAAATGTCGAAAATCCCGTTTAATTCAATGTATTGCGTCGGTCCCAGCAAAACTTACACTAAACATTTGAACTAATTTAAATCGCAGATAACTCGAGGTTTTCTTACGGTCCTGTCGACTTCGAGATAGCGAGGTTATATTGTATTTCTTTATGAACAAGTATTACTTGGAACAATAAACCGGTCATTACTTCTG